AAACGTATTTTGTTTACATTGTTTATATTTTCATTATTTGAAATAGTATTTTGTTGAAGTAGTGGCGATTTTTATCTAAATAATATAATTGTAACCCCTTAGTGAGAGCTTGTGGAAGAGCACAGCCAAGAGCTGACCACCCAAGAGCTAATGGAGTTGCATTTTGCATTTTGTTTCACGGCAAGAAGTTTTGGGGGAAAGTTTGTCAGAGGAGGAGGAAAAGCAACAATCTTCTGGCGAAATAAGAGAAATGCTGAAAGCATGGGAAACTGTTGCATCATACATTGAGAAGCATCTCCCTAATAAGAAAGTGGCTACGTGCGTTGCAAATTTATTTATTGATAATGCTGTGTAGCATTTTCGCCAAATTTTGATGCGCAAAAGTAAATGTCTCTGGACATCTTTCTAGTAAAAAAAAATAATTAGCCATGTATCATAATTACTTCCACTGTTTTTTTTTTTTCACCTTTCCCAACAAGCTCTGTGAGTCAGTTACAATGATGGCATGTGTGCACAGCTGATTCTCAAGCCAGCGGAAGGCAACAGAGACTACCTCCACCTCCATTCTTAAACTAGATGTTGTGATATCATATGCAAGGCTTTGCTGCACTAGGCGACGTCCATTCGCCTTTGCTATGAACACCCATGCACTTCGTCTGTCCCTCAACACAGAGCCATCTCTATAGATAATCACATCACTTGGGCGGGAATTGTCATGAATAATTTGTTTAACTTCTGATTCTGCAGCACAAGCTGGCTAGTCTCTGCACTCACGATCTAACGTGATTAGAATCCTACACAAGTCTGAAACTTGTTCGGACACCTTGACCCACTCCTTCCCCTTGCTCAAAATTATCAAGCCTGCACACATGTCTGTATCTTCATTTTTTGTATGTTGCTAAAATTTTTGTAAGTCAGTTTTACATTTGTTGCCGTTTGTGAGTGTTGTTGTGGTGTTGTTTGTGAGTACGTTCAAATTTGATTCAAAGAACAAAAAGAAAAAAAAAGGCGGGGGGGGGGGGGGCACCACAAATGGAGAAAGGTAAAAAAATCGGGGGCCGGGAAAATAAAAAGAGAGGGGACTCCACTCCAATCGTCTGCAGCCAGAGATGATTCCGTCTTCTTTAATTGTTCTGTCTCTTCCGAGGCATTTCTTCAGCTTGCACCATCGAAGACCTTCCTTTTTTTTCAGTCTGTGACCGACTGACTGACTGACTTTCTACCCCACCAGGACATCACACAAGCGATAAACACCTGATGACACAATGTGCCACCATGCGGATGAGGATCACAGTGAAGAGGTCCCAGAAACCATGTTCAGCCTTTAGGCCATATTAATGGCCAGGCTATATTGCAGCCTCTGGCAAGAGCCAGAGTAGGGCTTCAAATAACGAAAAATTTCACCCTAAAAAGGACGAGAAGTGTAAGATACATAGTCTGTGACCAGGGCTCTACCCAGGGCTTCATGCAGGAAGTGTTTCTTGTAGAAGGTAATAATATAACGAATACCTTCTATTATTAATGATATTATTTCAGTTACCTCGTCGAAGTGTTGTTTGAGAGACTACAAGTGGACTAATTTCTTCTTCTACGCGTTCACCGGCTGTAAACTCCAAAGGAAAGTTATGGTTGTTCGTCCACTTCTGAACAGTATTCTTTTTTCCAAACATGAGTGTTACAGATCATGTTTACTTGTATGCAGATTGTTGGTTCCTTGCCTTTCAGGCAGATGCACTCCTGCGTCGGAGGAAATTGTGTAATTGTAAATGAACAGCTATCTATGAAGCAGATAAAATTAGCCACTTTACGTTTTAAATTTAGTTAGTTAGTTAGTTAGTTGGGTTATCATCATTGCACTCCGGACATGTCCATAGGTGCTCAGATCCTCCCCTCAGTATGAACCCCAACGTCCGATGCCTAATAGTACCAGTTCTATGTTGATTAACAAGTCTTCTGACGTGTCTGGTGTGCGTCTCGTTTTTTGCTGTGCCGATCTTAATTCCCAAGTCTGCGTTCTAAATTTAGCCTGTTGGCAACCAAGGTTGCTAGCTAAGCTAGTTTCTTGGAAAACTGATTTTCTTCCAAGAGGTTCGGCTTTAGATGCAAGAGGGAGAAGAACCAGGAAGTGAAGGCAGAAAGTTACAGTGTGTCATTCTTGCGACAGTTTGCTGCTGTTTATAGTTTACCACCAACACGTAAGATTTGATGTTTATCATGTGTTGTTTTGTTTTCTCATTAGTTAGTTAAGTTAGGAAGTGGTGTTGTGTTTATTTAAAAGTCGTCGTGATTTCCTACATCTCACATCATAATAGTTTTCTCTGCTTGTATTGCATTAAAGACACATTTAAAGGTATGTGAATTTCATTAACTAGTAATTGATATAAGTTTTTAGCATAATAATATCCTCTTTAACCCTCAAGGTTATAATTAGGATATATAATGTCCATAGTATTTGATTTCTACAGTTTGCTATCGTACTACTACCTTCAGTCCGTCCTTTCGGTCATTTACTTTGTTTATATTTTCATTATTTGAAAACGTATTTTGTTTACATTGTTTATATTTTCATTATTTGAAATAGTATTTTGTTGAAGTAGTGGTGATTTTTATCTAAATAATACAATTGTAACCCCTTAGTGAGAGCTTGTGGAAGAGCACAGCCAAGAGCTGACCACCCAAGAGCTAATGGAGTTGCATTTTGCATTTTGTTTCACGGCAAGAAGTTTTGGGGGAAAGTTTGTCAGAGGAGGAGGAGGAGGTAACAGAAAAACAACAATCTTCTGGCGAAATAAGAGAAATGCTGAAAGCATGGGAAACTGTTGCATCATACATTGAGAAGCATCTCCCTAATAAGAAAGTGGCTACATGCGTTGCAAATTTATTTATTGATAATGCTGTGTAGCATTTTCACCAAAATTTGATGCGCAAAAGTAAATGTCTCTGGACATCTTTCTAGTAAAAAAAAATAATTAGCCATGTATCATAATTACTTCGACTGTTTTTGTTTTGGTGCAAATCGAATTCGCATTCCAGGTGGGTTTGTTCCACTTTTGAAAAAAAGATTAAGATGATTTACTCTCCTTAACAATATGGATATACTCTTCTTTGAATAAACATTATACATAGCATTTTGTGAGTACTTTTTTTCGACATGGAACGCATTATCCTATTTTACATTAATTTATGTGAGAAAAATTGTTTCGCATAACTAGTATGATTCTGGAACGAATTATGCTCCTTAAACGAGGTTCCACTGTATATATATATATATATACATATGTGTGTGTGGATATATATATGGTGGAGAATATTGTGACGACTGGGAAGATCAACAGTAGAAGAGGGAGAGGCAGACCAAGAGAGAAGATGACTGATGGAATGAGACTGTGGCATGAAGGAATATCATCGGTGGAACTGATCCAGAAGTCAAGGGGCTGAGATCTGTTGAGATGCATGAATGTCCATGCCAGTTGACGGGGAATGTGATAATGATATGCGTATGTGTGTGTGTGAGAGAGAGAGAGGAGAGAGAGAAGAATTCTTAAAGTTGTTTATTTATTTAATTCTTCTTCTTACTTTATCATCTCACTGATAACCAGGCTGTAGCCCAGTGTCTTGGTTTTCTGTGTTTGTCTTTCGCTTCTCCAGTGGCTTGGATGATGGATTTGTTCATCTTTTTGCCAGTTTCTAAAAAAAAAAATCAAGTAAAGGACCCTTTTCCACGCCTTTAGGCGTATAGGGCATATAGGGCTAGACCTATATTTTTATAGACTAATCGGCACAAGATGGGTGATATGGTCAGCATCACACTGGCCGCCTTTACTTCCCATGACTGCACCTGGTACCCACTCAAGACTGGGTCTACCTGAAAGCCAAGGTCATTTTGCCAGTTTCTGCTGCATCATTTATCCATCTCTTTCTTGGTGTTCCTCTCTGACTGATTGACACCTGGATAAGCAAAGTGTAAAACGTCATTTTGTCATTTTCAGATGAGAAGCCCAGGTTGAAATCCCAGACACCCAGTTTAGCTGTAAGGTTATATTGAGGCCTCTGATGGTTACAGTACAGCTGTAAGGTTATAGTGTGGCCCCTGACGGTTACAGTTCAGCAGCAAGGTTACAAGGTAACCTGAATTTCAGACAGGGAAGAATAAAATGAATATTTTAACCACCACTGTTGAAATCCGGTTCGCGTCCTCCATGTTGTGATGAATATCTTCTTCTTCAGAAATCCAAGCCCTTGAGGTTCATTGCTGCAGATATGCAACTTTTTTTAAAAAATCCCATGACAGAGAATTTCTTCTTCTTTCGTTCGCATGAAATAAATTGTCTATATCTGCAAAGCCGTCTCTAGTATGAATTTCACTGTCTTTTGTAATTCACTAAGCGGCCCGTAAAGTTTGACTTCCACAAGTGTCTCTTTTGGCCAAAGGTTTTGCCTGAAAGCGTTGAATCTGGGACAGTCTTGAAGGATGTGATCTGTTGTTTCGGGTGCCAGTCCACAAGTACACATGGCTGATTGGCCAATCTTAAATTTGTTGTACATGTGGGAGCGAAGTCGATTGTGCCCTGTTCTAAGGCGAAGGATAATGACTTGCTCTGGTCTGTCCATAATATGGTAATCATCTTGTGCCAGTTTCAGTGGCATTCTGATTGATTTGATCATTCTCTTCTTCTGTTGATAAAAGACTGGTATGTCAGGTTGTTCTTCAGTTGCACCTTCCTTAGCTAGTTTATCAGCTTTTTCGTTTCCGGGAACTCCACAGTGGGAAGACAGAGAATTATTTGTTTTCCTAAACTACTCTGTTTATTGCTTACTAAATAAAATTACCTTATTAAAAAAAAAAACTTATTAACACAGTAAGATTACCTTTTTTCCCTCTTTTTAATAACTTACCTTTCTGTCTTTTCTCTTTGTAAATTATTTTCATGGTAAAATTAAGTTTTTTTTAAATTACCTCCTCAGAATATAGATTTTTTGAGACATAGGACAGTCTCGGCATGGAGCAGAGACATCGAGACATCATTCGCACCAATTATTGTCTGCTAGCAGAACAGATTAAAACCTCAGTTAGTGATGTATGCGCTTGTCTATATCAGTCTAGGATCATCTCAGAGAGAATGAGGGAGAATATCCTTGAGGTAATTTACAATTTTTAGCATATATACAGTTGTATCGGCATAACTAGAATGTCTTTGCATTGGAACCCACAGGGGCATAGGAATAAAGCAAGGCCAAAAAACACATGGAGAAGAGAGCTGGAGAATGAGGTTAGAAAGATTGGGAGGACATGGGGAGAGCTCCATGCAATGGCGAAGGATAGAACGACTTGGCGTGAGTTGGTTGAGGGCCTATGCTCCATTGGGGGATAGAAAGGCAAAAGAAGAAGAAGAATACATTTGTATAGCAGTTGATTAATCAAGTTTAAACTGAAATACATTAGAACCTCGCTTAATGAGCACCTCGCATAACGAGTAATTGGCATAACGAGCAAAACAAATTGTAAAAAAAATGACTTGCTTAACGAGCGACGTTTCGCATAACGAGTGGCGAGGAGAGGGAAAGTCCCGAATTGTGCCCATGTTACATCAGTCTGTGTTTAGCACTTGTTCCAGTAGCAGCGTAGTGTCACTTGTGATCACACATTTTCTCAAACTTGTGTTAAATTGTGATTATGTACATGAATCCTCCAGGCTTACAAGATAACCTCTCTGAAGAATTCAAGTTCATCAAGATCCAGTTTCTGGCTCCCAACACCACTCCGTTACTCCAGCCCATGGACCAGCAAGTTATTTCTAACTTAAAGAAGCTCTACACTAAAGCACTCTTCCAGCATTGTTTTCAGGTGACTGAAGGGACCAACCTCGCTCTCAAAGAGTTTTGGAGAAAAAATCACTCCCACATCGTTGCCTGCCTCAAGATGATCGACAAGGCGGGAGAAGGGGTTACCATGAGAACCCTAACTTCTGCTTGGAAGAAGCTTTGGCTGGAGAGCGTTGTCTATTTGTGACTTTGAGGGGTTCGAGACAGTACCTGTGAAACCTGCAGTCAACGAGATTGTGTCTTTGGCCACTATCATGGGATTGTAGGTGGATAACAGTGAAATCAAAGAGCTTGTGAAAGAGCACAGCCTAGAGCTGCGTTTTTGAGGAAAGTTTGTCAGAGGAAGAGGAGGTAACAGAAAAGCAACAATTTTCTGTGGAAATAAGAGAAATGCTGAAAGCATGGCAAACTGTTGCATCTTACATTGAGAAGCATCACCCTAATAAGGAAGTATCTATGCACATTGCAAATTTATTTAATGATAATGCTGTGTCGCATTTTCACCAAATTTTGAAGCGTCGGCAAAAACAAATCTCTGGACATCTTTCTAGTAACAAAAAAAAAATAAATAATAATAATTAGCTATGTATCATAGTTATTTCGACTTTTTTTCTGCAAATCGAATTCGCATTCCATGTGGGTTTGTTACGCGTTTGAAGAAATGATGAAGATGATTCACTCTCCTTAACAATATGTATACAATTTTCTTTGAAAAAACGTTATACATAGCATTTGTGAGTATCTTTTTCGACATGGAACGCATAATCATATTTTACATTAATTTATATGAGAAAAATGGTTTCACATAACGAGTGTTTCGCTTAACGAGTATGATTCTGGAAATAATTATGCTCGCTAAACAAGGTTCCACTGTACAGTGAATATTGAGGATACAGTGTTAGGTTCAGTTTGTTTTTTTAGGCCACTTGGCACTTCACTAGTGATGTGGTCAGTAAGTACTACATATATTGTCTGCAGTTTGTTCTCCAGAACATATCTGGTACCAGTTTTTATGAGACCTGATTGGTCTCAGCATCTTGTGGCTGATAAATAATTTTCCACCAGGTAGGTTTGTAGTCATAATTGTATGCAGATAAACATAAAGTATCTTGACATATTTTATAAATAAAATGTTTGTTGTCTCCAAAATGGAGGTTAGCTGCAGTTCTTCATCCTCTTCTTCTTGTGATCACTTCCTTGATTTACACCCACAGACGAGTTCTGGTGATGAAATTTACATTTTTTTTAGGTCATTTCTTTCTTCTTGGGTTTGGTCAGTCACTATCCTGCACATTCTTCACTCCACAGAATGGTCTGTGAGGTCTTCCAGGTGCTGAGAATGGGTTCTGTCAAGGCTCAGAACCCATAACTATACTGGCCTGGTGGTTTTTTGTTGTTGAGCTTTTTAGTCAAATTTCTCTGGAATTCCTTGTCCATTTTGTTGAGCTTTTTAGTCAAATTTCTCTGGAATTCCTTGTATAAGCTTGACTGCAGTCACGCCCATATTTTCTGCCTGGTGGAGCAGGGTGAGCACCAACACTGAATTTATCGGATAATATATTCATCTATTCAGCGATTTGTGTAATACTGTGGGTTATGATCCATATACTGGCTCAGTATGGACGACTTCAGGATCTCTTCAGAATTAGGGTGGTCTTATTTCTTCACCTTTCCCCGTGGTGTAACGGCTTGGAGAAGTTCTGTCCAACTTCTGTCTTCTCCATGTCGTACTAGGACGATATTTGTGTGTGTGTGTGTGTGTGTGTGTGTGTGTAGGTGAATGGGGGTGGGGGGGGGGGGAGGTGGTAGACTCTGTGTCCCCAGCAAGTGTGTTGTAAATGGTAACTAATTAAGGCTTTGTTAAAATTGTTGTGTTGGGCCGAAAGTAATAGATAACACAGGTTGGCTCTAAACCTCAGTGTGCCAACCAGGCTTTTAAAAATAACCATAGAAGAATATCGTTTCGGTGTAGCTTGTATTAAATTATTTTTTTAAACTGTTTCCATTCTCCAGACTAATGGTACCTCCAGACAGAAGGCGGAAGCTCTACTAGATCTCATTGTTAAACGTGGCCATGCAGCTTTTGAAATGCTTTATACTGCCATCTTAGAGAGTGAGCTGTATGAGGCTGCTGATATTCTGAACCCAATAAGGGCCCCACATAGAAACTTGGGAACAGCCATGTCACAGACGTCAGATTTAGATGCACCTCCATCTAGAGAAGAGGAAATTGCAGCAGCTCTATCAATGAATGTAACACCTCCAATCAGAGAAGAGGATGTTGCAGCTGAAGCTGATGTGCTACCAATGAATGAAACACCTCCATATAGAGAGGAGAATACTGCTGTCCATGCTGGTGTTCTGATGGCGAATGAACTTCCAGCACAATCAGCTAGCTCTTCTAGTATTTCAAGCAGCTCTGCAATAGATAATATACCAAAGTGTAAGTAAAATCTGCTAAGTGTCACACAATTATTGTTGACGAATTAACTTTTATTACAGGATCTTTTTGGCAAAGTTGTTAAGTTGATTGCCTTGCTCAGACTCCATCCTTCAGGTTGTGAGTCCAGGTATTTTGGAGATTCTTGGGAGAAGGGAGAGGGTGAGGCATCATTAGAGCTATGTAGTTTTATGCTTTGTGCAGGGATAAAACCTGGTTCACTGTGAGAATAATAAGAAGAAACTCCACAGGGGAGCATGTACAGCAGGAGTCTACCAATCATCATTAGAAGTAATCTCTCGTCGACAGATGTTTCAGCCCACGAGTTCCTAGACATTTTCAGAGAGTGGGCCCACCTGAGTTCATGAAGCTCAGGGTTGATTTCCTGCTGCTGCACGTATTACCGGATGTTCTCAGACAGGGACAAGACCAAATTGGTGACTTTGCAAAAGGTACTGTGAGATACTGTATTTACATAGTCGCTGCGGTAGCATAATTAGAGCAGTCAGCATACCTGGACGACTAACTGACAAGCTTACGGTTGGTTTATCGGACACATGTTAGACTTTGTTGGCAGATGGCAGAGGGACACTGGCTGACAATTCGGACACGATGGACTTTAAGGGATAAGATTTTTTTTTCCACTAGACACCCGGACCAGCTCACCGAGGTCCGTCCCCCACGACGTTCCGTTGTGTCCAGAGCCAGCTCGAGGCCCTCTCAGCAGCCTCGCCCAGTTGTTTTAGTGCTCATTTGTGCTCATTTTCTCGCAAGCCTAGTTGTTTAATGACATTGTACAATGAGGTGGAAACGAGACCTCTTGCGCCTACCTTGACGGTGAAGATTCTTACTGTGTACGCTTCGTCTCTCCTCAGACTAGCTGCTAAGTCACTGTACTTCTTGAGCTTCTCGAGTCACTGAAATCAATCTTCATGCCAAAAAGTAAAATTTGTTAAATAATGTGTATGAAAGTTAATTTTTGTAGAATGTTGAATTAGGAAGGAATCAACATTATAGCACTCAGGACACACCCATATGCGCTCCATCCCCATCATCAGCTCATTTTCTCGCAAGCCTAGTTGTTTAATCACATTGTACAATGAGGTGGAAACGAGACCTCTTGCGCCTACCTTGACGGTGAAGATTCTTACTGTGTACGCTTCGTCTCTCCTCAGACTAGCTGCTAAGTCACTGTACTTCTTGAGCTTCTCGAGTCACTGAAATCAATCCTCATGCCAAAAAGTAAAATTTGTTAAATAATGTGTATGAAAGTTAATTTTTGTAGAATGTTGAATTAGGAAGGAATCAACATTATAGCATTTAGGACACACCCATATGCGCTCCATCCCCATCATCAGCAGCAAGCGAAGAGTTCAAAATCTGATGGTACCAGTAACTGTTTTATTGTACATCTGTCTCGCCCTTTCCTTGAATGTTGACTGTTGGCCAAATCTCCTGGTGACTCCTCGCAGCGCCATTCTCCTCAGATCCTAATGATCTTTTTGTGCCTCCGCACTGTCCACGTGTTCCCTTAGGGTCCTCACAACATCTAGCTTGTCATACATCAGTTAACCCCACCAAGTGGTGCAGAACCATCCACTATATCTGCCTGTTCATTTCCCAAAACATCAGCATGACCTGGAGAAAATATCCAAAGGACGCCAACTACCCGGGACCTCTGAAGCGATGCTTGCCACTCTGCATGGAACATGCCTGTATCCACCTTTCTTAACATGCTCTGTGCGTGATTTACAATTATAACATGTCGGTACAGCTGATTCTCAATCCAGAGAGGCAGCAGTGACTGCCTCCACCTCCATTCTCAAACTAGACGTTGTGATATCTCAGGCTTTGTTTCACTAAGCGACGTTCATTCGCTTTTGCTATGTACCTCCACTTTGTCTACCTCTCAACACAGAGACATCTGTACAGATAATCAAATCACTTGGGCAGGAACTGTCATGAATCATTCGTTGAACTTCTGATTCTGCAGCCCCAGCTGGCCAGTCCCTGCACTCACGACTTAAAATGATTAGAACCCTATACAATCTGAAACATGATTGGACAATTTGAGCCACCGCTCTCCTCCCCTAAATTTATCAAGCCTGCACACATGTCCAATTGTGTCTTCAGCTTGTGACATCTAAGACCTTCCTATTTTCAGTCTGTGACCCTTGACTCTACTTAGGGCCTTATGCAGGAGGTGCTTCTTGTCTGCAGCTACTCTGAGATTTAACTTTGCTTGCAGAATTTGAGCAATAGTAGGCAGTGCAAGTATATACTGCATACATACTACCAGGGTGTCTCTTGTACATCCCAGAATTACCCGCATGGCTTCATTCTGTATGCATTCAAGTTTCATCAGCGGAATCTGTGATTTGTTAAACATTCCAAGTCCATAATCTATCACCGACAGGATCACATACTGGAAAATTGTGAACAGTATTTTTTGTTCCATGTCCATTGCTGCCATAGTCTTGAGAGCATTGAGTCCCTTTTGGCTTTTTACCATAACTGTCTACACATGATCCCTGAAGGACAGGCATCTATTGAAAATGATACTCAGGTACCTCAGTTTGCTTTCTCTTTTGATGTTTCTATTGTTAATTGTGAGACTTGGGACATCAGCTTGTACAGTTCCATTGTCCAGAGAGCACCATAAAACGGCCGCCTTTTCTGAGTTGATGACAACACCAATCTCTGCACACCAGTCAATCATTTGTCTACAGTTGCCTGTAGCTGTTGGGCTGTCTGTTGCCTATCAGTCCCCTACCTATATGCAAGAACATCATCTGCAAATGTTAATATCCTTCGATCTGGTGCTTCAAGTTTTGCAATCTTGCTTGTATATACATATTGAAGGGCACTGGTGAAATTGCAGAACCCTAGGATAGTCCAGGGGTGATATTACATGGTTCTAAGGTCTATGTACCCAGGCAAGGGGCAACCATCATAAATGCAGGACACCTGCTATCCACTTCCCCAGCCAGTGACACCCTCCCTTCTCTATGAGCCCGGATATCAAAATATCATATCTGACTCTATTTATTGTAGGCATCCTCAAGATCAATTGCTGTCACTACTGTCTTCTGTCTATTCTAGAACCTGTCCTAAACATTAAAAGCAAAAGTAGCCGCTTGCTTGATACCATCTTTATTTTTAGTAATTGCCACCTGTTGCCTTATTGACTGGCAAAACGATCACATTTCTTCATATCTAACATCTTCAACAAAATGAATCAAATAAGATGCTGACATTTTTTCATGCTATGAAGAAAACTAGTCAAGATTTTTATCTCACTGTCTTTCTCTGTTTCTCTTTAACAAATTCTTGAATTCACAATATTTCTGATAGCGGCCTCCCTGGCTTAGGCTATGGGAGTCCGATTCGTAATTCCAATGTACCGCAATCATAGCCCACTGCTGGCTGCATAGATTTTTATCATATTATGGGGCATACCAGTTCGAAACAACCTAAAATGGGTACCAGGATGCATGTCCTAGGAAAGTAACGATGACTGGCGTAATGCTGAGGAACAGATAGATCATTACGGTCTGAGGAGAATGAGCTTTGTGAGGAGTTACAAGGGGATCTGGCCGAAGCTCGACACTCAGTGAAAAGGTGAGAGGGATATACAATCAGACAGTTACTGATACCATCAGAATTTTAACTCTTTTCTTGCTGCTGAAGATAAAGACAGAGCGCTTATGGGGGTGTCATGAGTGCTATTATGTTGATTCTTAATTTAACATTGCTCAAAATGGATACCATGTCTCCGTATGGGTTCCTTGTTCAGTTTGAAGAACAAAAAACAGACCAACTGCTCCCTACAAAACATGTTGTAGGAGGTGACTAATTAGGGATGTTTCTTTCAGAGTTTCACTATCTGCCTGAGATTGAAGGAACCAACAGTCTGCATACAAACAAGCCAGATCTGTAAAATGAATGTGCAAGTAAAACTCAAGTTCCTGATAGATGCAAAGTTGAGAAGTGGACAAACAACCCAAACATTGCACCAAAGTTTACAACCTGTGAGATTTAAAAAGAAGAAGAAGAGATCTTTCTGAGGGATCCTTAGATCATTGATGTATTACGCAGAGACCACATCACAAATGATATAGTTCACCATTTCATCAAGCAGTAAATTAGCAACTATAAATCTCTGTTCATCATCATCATCATTATCATCATCATAAACCACTTCTGCCTTTAAGCGTCATGGGGAGGAATAGTTTGCGATCCAGTGCATGCTGGTTGCCACTGGCCATTGTCATGCCGAGAGAGTCTCTTTAATGTTGTTGATCCAAATTTCTGTGGTCGTCCTCTTGCTCTTGTAGCTGATCTTCTGAGATGCAGTGCTTGTGATGGTATTTGATCTTGCTGCATTCTAACGAGATGGCCAAGCTGCTTGATCTGCTGTTTCTTGGTCAATCTCTGTTAACAACCATTTAAAAATGTAAAATGCAATGGTATGGACATGTTAGAACATCTACAGGCATCTGCAATGTTACGATCCTCAGTACACAGGCAGAGAAGAAAAGGCAGGCCAAGAAAAATATTGTTCAGTGTATTGTAGAGATCATCTTCATTGGACATGACCATAAGTGCTCCGATCTCCTCCTGATTATCTCTCCAAGTGTTTTTAGGCTAACAACTCCTATTCTGTTCTGGTCAATGTTACCAAACAAAATTAAACATATGACACTGTGTTTACATAGGAGGATCTCAGCACAATGCATGTAGCTCCGTAGCATCTGCGAGGATCCTGCAGACAGCACAACCACAGACAGTCACTTCATGTTAGTGAAAAAAACCCAGCAGTGGCCATGCCGCCATCTTGCCTGATGTCCCAGGAAAAATATGGACCTCAAACTTGCTAATTTTGCCACAGATATGCAAATATTAAGTCTAGTGCATCTGACTGACATAGTTGGGGAAAAGGGGGGGGGGGGGGGGAGGAATCTTATCTAATAATGGCATACTGTATTATGTTCAAGTTGTCCCCTCATGGGATGCAATTTTTGTTTTGAAGTCCCACCCTGGCTTCTGCCGGGAGCCCTGAATATAGCCAGAGCACAGATATAGCCGAGCCATAGATATGGCCTAACGGCTGAAAGGGGTTTCTGGGACCTCTCCACAGGTGATCCTTTTCCGCATGGTGGCCTTTTGTGTCACCGGGTGTTTATCGCTTGTGTGATGTCCTGGTGGGGCCCAAAATTAAGTCAGTTCAGATGTACACCTAATTGTGTTGTGCCGGTTTACAGCATGGCTGCAATATTTGTGCCTTTCAGCTGACACATCTAGCTTCTGCAGGCATTTGTTGCCCCAGTTACTTTTCCAGTTAGTTTAGTGGAACACTACAATCTCATTGCCATGTGGTCATCTTGGTTTCCTAGTTCATAGGTGGAGGTCTCCCATCAGGCAAGTCCAGTGGTGAGCATTCCCCGACATCCAAGGAAGTTTCTATAAATGCAGAGCCAATACATGGTGCTGTGTTACACAGCTCACCCAAGGAATAGTCACGTCCTGCTCATGACTGTTTAACCTCATTGATTATATTGAGCTGATAATGATGATATTAATTTTCAAACTCTTCCCCATCACTTTATTTGAATTACTTTAAAAATGCCATCAGACCTTTATTGCTTTAACTTTTTTGTATTGTTTCTTAGTATAAAGTATAGCATTTCTCACTGTTTTGTTTAGCATGGCCTGGTTTGGGGTTTGTGAAAAAAGAAGAAATTAAGGTACAGATTGTGCAACCAGATTCACCGATGTACGAGGAATATTTAAAATCCCTGACACCACAAGGTCAAGTAAGTAAATGTTATAAAATCTTCTTCTCTATCTTAAGTCCTTCAGTTGTTGTGTGGTTAAAAAAATAATGTCTCTTCCTATGGAGCTATTACTTGTTATTTGTTGTCTTAATCGACATCTTAGCACACCAGTCTGACCAGCACTCTTTTGTAATGGCCCCAAATTATTTAAGTCAAAAATCTACCCTTACAGGGCCTCAGTAGGTCATCTATTATAACTATTAAAAACGTGGAACTAAAATATAAATATTGACGTACTTAACCAAAAATAGTTACAGTTATATCTTGAAATTGTGGCACATAAGTTGTAAATACTGTCCGAAAAAAGTCCAAATACAAAACTAACGACATCAGACGTTTGCAACAAGAACATTCTTCTGTGTTTTGTATTATCTGTGAGTAGCAAGCTATTACAACCACTGTAGTTTATTATTCATTAATATGTATAAGTCGGCAGGTCTAACATCTACAGCTGCCAGTTTATCAATCAGTAGAACAGTATTGCTAATCTGTGTTGGAGCTGAAGGCCTGCCTGAAATGTTTGCTGGAAATAAATCTATCCTTATTTTACATATCATTGAGGCCCTGTAAGGGTACATTTTTGATCTAGATAATTTGGGGCCGTTATCCGGAGGAGTGCTGTTTGACCTTTTCATGTTCCATCGTCCGATGCAGCAGCCATCTCAGTATCTCCATGTTCAGTATGCCCAGTAGGAGTTGACTGGCATGTCTGCTTTATCTGGCCAGCAACTAGTGCCTGTGTGCTTGTCCTAATTCAGTTCTCCATTTCCAGGACTCTGATTTCCCATCTGCCCTATCCATACTTCATCTACTACTAGTAACTACTGCAGACACTGCCAGTCTGCCGGCTCTTTCATTTAATTTCACCCTGGCATGTCCTAGTGTGAAGAGCCGGGAAAGTTTTTGAGGCAGGACTTCTAGATGCTGTGAACCCATTCTAGTCAGAGTTTGCCAGTTTGGATTCTTTTTTAGCATGCTCATTGAGTCTGTCATTGTCAGTGTGGGAGCTGCTTTCTGATCCACCAGGCATGCAAGTGCACCTGTGACAGCTGCTATCTCCATCGCCATATTACAAGTAGTTGAACTTCTTCTTCTTGTTGTTGTTCCCCAGGTGTAAGCGCCAGCAGAAATTTCTAGTTGTTTGTCAATTGCTGAACTGGAGTCCTGTTCCAGAACCTGAGTGTTACATGCTCATCCGTTTTACAGATCTGACTTTTTTGTATGCACACTGTTGGTTCCTTGCTTCTCAGGCAGAAGCACTCTGACTTCGAAGGAAGCTCCCAAATAGTTGACTCTTACGACATGCTTTTGGGCAAGCAGTGGGTCTTTTCTTGTTTTCCCTACAATAGGACCCTGGAATCCACACAGGGAAGTACTTGAATGCCTGATTTTTCTACTGTTTATCAATTTACCTACACTGTATGTCCCCATAGACCATGCCCCAGAAATCACTGAGCCATCTTTATAGAGGGTGACATTTCCTGGTCAAGTAACCAGTCAGTTAAGCTAATCGGTGAAATCAGTCAAATCAGCCAACCAGTGAAACCAATCATCCAATTATATCAGTCAATGAAACCGATCAGTTAAGCAAACCAATTAAAGCAGCCAGTAATATTTACTAATTAAACCAGTCAGTGAAACCAACCAATTAAATTACACAAATAAACCAATGGAAGAGAAGTGACCTTGTATCATTTTTCTCTATTTTCAGAGATTTTATTATACGTTGCAGCATAAGGTCAGAGGAAGAGTTTTGATTGTTAACAATGAAACATTTAAAACAAATCATGGAACTAAAAAAGAGAATGAAAAGGTTATTTACTGTTCTGACAGAGAAGGTAGTTCCTATGACAAAGACAATCTTGAGGTTTTATTCACTCAACTTGGGTTTCTCGTCCAAACTGTTAATAACCAAACAAAAGAGGTGAGTCATTTGTTATTCATGATATCAGTGTAATGTAAACACAGCTGATTATTGTTATTGCAGTTTTGATATTTGTTATTATTTTGTTATTGATGAAAGAAGCAAGCAGGCAAACTGCATTGTACTGATTGGGTATTAGATATAAACAACATGGATAACTAACAGTGGAAAGGAGAGTCGAACCATGAACATCAGGGTAAAGGTATTAGAACAAGCAGCATGATTCTTCTGTCTTCGACATTTAATAATATAATGACAGAAGTGAAACGGAAATAAAAAAAGAGAAAAGAAATGACTAAAAATGTCTTTGATAATATAAACAAATTACTACATGTATAAAGACAGTATATTGGAAATGCTTCTTCTTTTTCTTCTTCTTTACATCCTCTTTTACCGCTTTGGGTGTTGAAGGGGAAATAAGGTCCTGCTTTGTGCTCTTCTGGCTGCTTTGACCATAGACATGTGGTGGTACAGTGAGTTTCTCTAACGCTATATTCCCATTTTGTTCTTGGTCTGCCTCTTGCTCTGCGTCCTTCTCCTAGTGTATGCCTTGTATTGTATAGCATCAGAAGGCATTCTCTCCAAGTGGGCAAACCATTTGATTTGCTGTCTTTGTATGTAATTTAGAATTGGTTTTTTACCGTCTTTATCTCATCTGACCTCATTACTGATTTGATCTCTTCTGTCTTTCTCAGACACCTCATTTCAATGGTTACTAATTTTCTTTTATGTTTTTTTGTGTGAGTGACCAGGTCTGGCACTGACAGCATAGGGTGAGAATGAATATGCTTTGTATGAGATGTTTCTTTGTGCTGATTGGGTTTGCCTTATGTTGTAAGTGGGGGACTAGCTGTCCCAATACTTGGCCAGCTTTACTGAATCGGATGTTAATTTCTTCGTCCAATTTACCATCTTCGGTGAATGTTGTTCCAAGTTAGTTAAACTCAGATGCCTGTTTAATATATGTATGCTCTAGTGCATAATGGAACAAACTATATTTAAATTCTGCTTCTTTTTTCCTATTGACATTACTTGTGTCTTTTCTATGCTGATTCTCATATTATTTGATTTACATTCTACACTCATGGATGTGGGATGTTGCAAATTCATAGCTGTATCTGCAGTCAAGTCCTGGTCATCACTAAAGAGGAATTTGTTTATGTTACTATTATTTTCATTGCTGGGCTTGTCATCTTTGCTTATACTGTCAATGTAGGTGATAAACAGGAGTGGCGATAAGACACCTCCCTCTCTTACTCCAGATGAAAATTAGAATTGTGAAATGTTATGTATATTCAACACCTTTGTCTCTTATTGGTTTACAGTGTCCCACTGAGGAAGGGGGGGGGGGGAGCGGCAGAGAATAGAAGGAGAACAAGAAGTAGAAGAAGATCGGGAGCACATCTGCCTGATAGGCGAGGAACCAACATTCTGCATACATGTAGCCGGACCTGTTTTAAAAAAAAATTGATATGCAACCAAAATTCTAACTCTGGACCAAGACTGAAGTCCAGAAGTTTTTTCTTTTGAAAGTCCATGCCCTGTGACGTTTGTAGTCATGTCCATCCAGATGGTCTTCCATGCCCTGTGACATTTGTAGTCATGTCCATCCAAATGGTCTTCCATGCCCTGTGGCGTTTGTAGTCATATCCATCAAGAACCTTCTGTCTCATGTACTTTCAGTCAACTCTGACACAGATGATCTTCCATGCCATGTGGTGTTTGTAGTCATGTCCATCCAGTACCTTCTGTCTCAGGTACTTTCAGTCAACTCTGACACAGATGATCTTCCATGCCATGGGGTGTTTGTAGTCATATCCATCCAGATGATCTTCCATGCCATGTGGCGTTTGTAGTCATGTCCATCCAGATGGTCTTCCATGCCCTGTGGCGTTTGTAGTCATGTCCATCCAGATGCTCTTCCATGCCATGTGGCGTTTGTAGTCATGTCCACCCAGATGGTCTTCCATGCCATGTGGCATTTGGTAGACATGTCCATCCAGATGGTCTTCCATGCCCTGTGGCATTTGTAGTCATGTCCATCCAGATGGTCTTCCATGCCCTGTGGCGTTATTAGTCATGTCCACCCAGATGGTCTTCCATGCCCTGTGGCGTTTGTAGTCATGTCCATCCAGATGCTCTTCCATGCCATGTGGCGTTTGTAGTCATGTCCATCCAGGTGGTCTTTCATGCCCTGTGACATTTGTAGTCATGTCCATCCAGAACCTTCTGTCTCAGCTACTTTCAGTCAACTCTGACACAGGTGGTCTTGCATGCCATGATGTCAGACTGTCTAGCATCTGTTCTCTCAGTCTCCATCTGTCTCTCCTCCCCTCCAGCTTTCCTACCATCACAATGCACTCCAGTCTTCTCCTTCTCATCACATGACCAAAGAATGTAGATTTTCTGTTTCTAATGGGAGCAATCAGTTCTCTTCTTGAGGCAGTTTCTTTCAAGAGGTCTTCATTACTCTTTTTTATCTGCTCAGGGTATTCTCATCATTTGTCTATAAAACCACATCTCCGCAGCTTCCAAATAAGTTTTCAATAAACCAGAGTTTACAGCTAGTATATACTATGAAGAAAGGAAGAACAACCCTTTTGTTTGTAGAGACTAGACAGTAAACAAGCAATTAAGAAATCCAATTGAGTTTCTTGGGATATACAGAAGAAAAGGTCATTTTTTTGTGGAAACAAAAATGATCTCATCTTTTTTTTAATTTCACTCTCAAGCTCCCTTCTCCTTTTGTTTTTTGGTCTTCCTTTATTTTATGCCCCTGTGGGTTCCAGTGCAAAGACAAATTGAATGTTGAATCAAGAATTGACATCACAGCACTGGGGACACTCCCATAAGTGCTCAGTACCCATCTTCAGCAGCAAGCAAAGAGTTATAATTTCCATGGCACCATTAACTGTCTGACTGTACAGTAGAACCTCGCTTAACGAGCACCTCTCATAACGAGTAATTCGCATAACGAGCAAAACAAATTGTAAAAAAATGACTTGCTTAACGAGCGATGTTTCGCATATCGAGTGGCGAGGAGAGGGGAAGTCCTAGATTGTGCGCATGTTACCTCAGTCTGTGTTTAGCACTCGTTCCAGTAGCATCGTAGTGTCGCTTGTGATCAGACATTTTCTTAAACTTATGTTATATTGTGATATATGTACATGAATCCTCCAGGCCTACAAGATGACCTCCCTGAATAATTTAAGTTCATCAAGATCCAATTTCTGCCTCCAAACACCACTTCGTTACTCCAGTCCATGGACCAGAAAGTTATTTCTAACTTTAAGAAGCTCTGGCGAAATAAGAGAAATGCTGAAAACATGGGAAAGTGTTGCATCTTACATTGAGAAGCATCACCCTAATAAGGAAGTGGCTATGCGCGCTGCAATTTATTTAATGAAAATGCTGTGTCGCATTTTTGCCAAATTTTGAAGAGTCGACAAAAACAAATGTCTCTGGACATCTTTCTAGTTAAAAAAAAAAATTAGCTATGTATCATAATTATTTTGCCTTTTTTTTTTTTTGCAAATCAAATTCGCATTCTAGGTGGGTTTGTTCCGCGTTTGAAGAAAAGATGAAGATGATTCACTCTCCTTAACCATATGTATATAATTTTCTTTGAATAAACATTATACATAGCATTTTGTGAGTATTTTTTTTTTCGACATGGAACGCATTATCGTATTTTACATTAATTTATATAAGAAAAATTGTTTCGCTTAACAAGTATGATTCTGGAACGAATTATGCTCGTTAAGCGAGGTTCCACTGTATTTCCATTGCAAACAAAGACATTCTAGTTGTAATGGGTCTGTGTCTTATACTAGCTCTCGCTCGTATACAGTCCACCCGGGCTGTTGTCTAGGAGTCAGACTGACAGGTTAGATGAGGCAGACTTCTCTTCCCACAAACTCCCAAACACAGGGGCTGCATGATCTTGAGGCAGGGTGTCCGCCTTGAGTGCTAGAGGTTCCAAGTTCAATCCCCGGTAAGAGCTGGGATTTTGTGCTACAGAGCCTGTGCACTGTGCTGAGCTTCTTCGGACACACTTGAGTTAGAAGAAGAAGGGAGCACTTACGGGTGACTAAGCGTGTGCCATAATGTTGATTCATTGTTCAAACCTCAAACCACAAACTCCCACACAGCTCTAAATGATAGTCGATGTAGGTTTGTTGAGTCTTCAGTATCCATTGCATGAGCAACAACAACTACAAAAGGTGTGCCTCGGTCTACGCAGTTAGGTGACCTTTTTTTCATATCCATTATTTGTTTCCCCATTTTGTTTCTGATTTTTCTCTCTCTTTAAAATGATAATGGCTGTTAAATTTCTTTTTAGACACTGCCTTCATTGGCTAAAGTATCCATGTTGTCTTTGATGCTGGTTATTGATTCAGTTTTGGGTTTCATTCTTTATTTCGCAAATGCAGGTGCTTTGGAAATCTCCTTAGATCATCACTGGAACTATGAAGTTTCATGCTTTGTGTAGTGCTCTTGTTGGGACTGCGGCTTTTCTTCAGATAGAGACAGAGCCACATTGGCGAAACTGTAGTGCAGTGAAGTTGATCCTCTTGCCTTTAAACATCCTTTTTTGTAACATCCTGTGAGCTCCACTCCTTCAGACTGAAGTATTTACTGCTTTAAGCTCCACTGCTTCACACTTAAGTATTTACTGCTTTCAACTCCACTACTTCAGACTGAAGTGTTTAAGTGCTTTAAGCTCCAGTCCTTCAGACTGAAGTATTTACTGCTTTAAGCTCCACTTATTCACACTTAAGTATTTACTTCTTTAAGCTCCACTCCTTCAGACTGAAATGTTTAAGTGCTTTGAGCTCCAGTCCTTCAGACTGAAGTATTAGCTGCTTTGAGCTTCACTCCTTCACACTTAAGTATTTACTGCTTTAAACTCCACTTCTTCAGAGTGAAGTATTTACTGCTTTCAACTCCACTACTTCAGACTGAAGTGTTTAAGTGCTTTAAGCTCCAGTCCTACAGACTGAAGTATTTACTGCTTTAAGCTCCACTTATTCACACTTAAGTATTTACTGCTTTAAGCTCCACTCCTTCAGACTGAAGTGTTTAAGTGCTTTAAGCTCCAGTCCTTCAGACTGAAGTATTAGCTTCTTTAAGCTCCACTCCTTCACACTTAAGTATTTACTGCTTTAAGCTACACTCCTTTACACTTAAGTATTTACTACTTTAAGCTCCAGTCCTTCAGATTGAAGTATTTACTGCTTTAAGCTCCACTCCTTCACACTTTAGTATTTACTGCTTGCAACTCCACTTCTTCAGACTGAAGTGTTTAAGTGCTTTAAGCTCCAGTCCTTCAGACTGAAGTATTTACTGCTTTAAGCTCCATTTATTCACACTTGAGTATTTACTGCTTTAAGCTCCACTCCTTCAGACTGAAGTGTTTAAGTGCTTTAAGCTCCAGTCCTTCAGACCTAAGTATTAGCTGCTTTGAGCTTCACTCCTTCACACTTAAGTATTTACTGCTTTAAACTCAACTTCTTCAGAGTGAAGTATTTACTGCTTTAAGCTCCAGTTCTTCAGACTGAAGTATTAGCTGCTTTGAGCTTCACTCCTTCAGACTGAAGTATTTACTGCTTTAAACTCCACTTCTTCAGACTGAAGTATTTACTGCTTTAAACTCCACTCCTTCAGACTGAAGTATTTACTGCTTTAAACTCCACTTCTTCAGACTGAAGTATTTACTGACAAGATCCAGGGAAATGTACCAAGCAAAAAATTGTTTGGGAGCTACAGTAGAATGGTTGATTAACACTCAGCTGCTGACCCGGAGGTCTAGGGTTCGTTTCCCCATTTAGGTGAAATGTTTTAAATTTTCAATTTTTGACTTTGGCTCTTGGGTCAGCCTATCCTAAAACCAGTACCAGGTAATGTCCTAGGACGTTGTTGTTGTTGTTGTTAACGATCCAGCGGCGCATGAGCTTTCGTCCTTTGGCCCAATGCCATGTAGTGGAATTTGCATGTTTTCACAAGCTGTTCTTTTCCTCCATACAAGGTGTTCCACTTGTCTGGTCTCGGAGCGAGTAGCATTCTTCTGGTCTCGCTGAGTTTTGGGCTCTCAAAGAGATGGTGTTAAACAGTTTTATAGGGGTAGTTACATAGATAGCACTCTGGGGAGTGTTGTGGCTGTATTCTGTTTAGATGTCCATTGTGTGTGGAGTATGTTGCGTTCTAAGTCTGAAGATGGTGGCCTGGTGCCTTCTTAAGATGTTTAATGCTGTCATTAGGATCAGGGCCAGCCATATGTCTATAAACCTCTCTTCCAGTGTCTCCCATGGCCCATCTGTTCAACCAAGTCTCTTTGTTTACAGCTCTTACATGTGTTTTTGCTATCTGTAGGATGAAAGTGCAACCAATGTGATGTTGACCACACCACCTACAAAGTGCTGATTGCATCGTTCCCCAAAGAGAGTAAGCTACCTTGGCTGTACTTCAGGTTACTTGAGCGCTACAATTTCTTAGGATTGAATGAGGTTTCTGGGATTTATATCTGGGAGATTCTCAACAGAATAGTGACTCTGTGGACATATCATGTGTTTTAACTCATGCGTTTTGTGTGTCATATTTTTTAAATCTCATATGTTTTATATGTATCTCCTGTGCTTTATATCTGGTGTGTTTTATTTCTGATATTATTTATATCTCCTGTTCCAAGTGTGGGTTCCAGGGCCCCATTTGGGAAAGGGGGAAGGGGAAAAGAATAGACTCATTACTCCTCTAATAAACGTATCATTAAAAAACGACTAATTAGGGGTGTTTCTGTCAAAATTGGAGTGCAATAAGAGATTTTTCTTGCTCTGTGTGGTCCTGTGGGGTTCAACTTCACTTCAGTCACACATAATTTGTCAAATGCACCACTTGCCTTTAACAAAGTTTTTTACTTAAAAACCTGTTCAACCTATTGTTCATGTCCTTATTCAGACGATTCACTTTTTTCTTTTTAGGACATGGAAAAGATATTTAAAGAAGAGTGTGAGAAAAATCACAGAGAATATGACTGTTTCATTCTTATCATCTTAACCCACGGACACAAAGGCATCGTCTTTGGCAGTGATGGCTATTCTGTTATAAAAGCTAACAATGAGTTGGAACACCACAATTACATCAGAGTTAAGGATATCAAGAACATGTTTTGTTCCATTAAATCTCTACGAGGAAAGCCTAAACTGTTTTTTATTCAGGCATGTCGAGGGGGTAAGAAAGATTTAGAATTATTCATTATTTAACTGCTGTTTATTATTACAGCTATTATTGTTTACATTTACATTTAATGGCTTCTGTGTGTAGAGGAACATACATTTGGATGATATTGATTTTACTGATATTGTACTTGTAAGTACAAACAGTAAAATTATGCAAAGAAAATCAGAGGCTTTAGCAAATAAAGCATCAAAGGTTGGACTTCAAATAAGTTTAAAAACAAGAATATTAAGGACACCAGTAACAGATCGAGCAGATATAACAGTAGAGACAAAAGGAATTAGAGCAACAGATCAATTTACTTATTTAAGTATTAATTTTGATAGTCATGGAGATACAAAGAAAGAAATAGGCTATGTATTGACAAGGCATTGGCAGCTGTTAAAAGCTTGAATGAAATGTGGAATTCTAAATTGTACAGTTTTAAAACCATGTTATGTATTTTCTATTCCAATGTTATTTTGGTACATATCATGATAAGAGACCCAACAATGAGAGTGACCTCCCTTCCCAATGATGCTCTGATCTGGTGTAGCGCCTCTACTATGTTGCAGGGGTTTCAGGCGTACTGAGTCATATTTTACTTCTTGAAGTCACCGGATGGCAATATCCCTTCTTCTATGCTGTGAGTGCTTTTAACGGTCCCAAAACATGTACAACTGGGCCTAAACCCAACTCCCCCCCCCCACTCCACAGCGTCAGCCTATGTCTGATGACTGTATGCAGCCTCTGTTATATGCTGCATACAGTCGTGCGATCAAGGATGCACCTCTGCCACATAGTAGAGGCCTTACACCAGATTGAGGCATCAGTGGGAAGGGAGATCACTCTCATCGTTGAGTCTCTTAACGTGACTAGAACCTTTATTTTAATTTAAACATAATGCCAGTGAAAGTTGAAGAACCACTAAAGACGTGGAATGATCATTGCATATTAAAACAAATGCATGAAGAAAATGTTGAACACAAAATGTGAGGAATTCAGGAAGGGTGAAGAAATAAGAGAAATGTCTGGACAAGCACTGTTAACAACAGTTATAAGACAAAGAAGTTGGTGGAAGATAGTGGACACACCCTGAGAAGAAGTGAGCAGAGAATCACCAAACAGGCACTGAAATGGGAAATTAAAGGATTAGATGAAGCGGGGACGCCCAAAACGTTGATGAGAGAGGCCAAAGCTGCTGGACTGGATTCCATCCATGATATTGAAATGATTGCACAGGATAGAATGAAATGGAGGAGTTGAGGTGAGTCAAGAATTTACATCACAGCACTCGGGGCACTCCCATACATGCTCTGTCCCCATCCTCAGCAACCAGTGCATTTTTCTAATACTAATGGTGCCAGTCGTAGTCTGGTTGTATGTCCGTCTTGCCTTTTCTCTGAATGTGGTGTGCCGGCTGAACCCACTGGTCCTGCCTGGGTGCATCATTCTCTCCAGCCAACAATAATCTAGTTTCTCTTCTGACTTCGTTACTTGTTCCCAAAGAGCTCTGACCACATCTGCCTTGTCATGTATCAATTCACACCCAGTGGTGCAGCTGTCTGCTTGTTTGGAATGGAGGAATAGAAAGCGAGCCATATGTGATATGTAAAGGCACAACAAGACAATGAATGTAAAGAAGGACCCATTTCCATGCTTTAGGTTGTATTGGGTATAGAGTGCTAGACCCATATTTGTATAGACCAGTGTTTCATGTACAGAGAAGTAAAAACTGTATACACAAGGAAGATGAATGGTCAGAGATCATGAGGCAGACCAAGAAGCCGATGGAGAGATAATGTCCAGAGATACCTGCAAACACTTGGTGTCACCAACTGGAAAGAGAGGGCCAACCATAGAGATGAATAGAGGCGGGTGATATCTGCAGAAATTAACCTCAAGGGCTCGAAATGCTGAAGATCATCAACCAGAGAGAAAGTAATGGAGGCGGGCGATATCTGCAGCAATGAACCTCAAGGGCTCGGAATGCTGAAGATATCAACCAGAGAGAAAGTAATGGAGGCGGATGATATTTGCAGCAATTAACCTCAAGGGCTCGGAATGCTGAAGATCATCAATCAGAGAGAAAGTAATGGAGGCGGGTGATATCTGCAGCAATGAACCTCAAGGGCTCTGAATGCTGAACAAGAAGAAGAAATGTTTCATGTGACTTCCTGGTCCCATTTTCTCAGAAAAACAATAATAGACCAACTGCTCTTTAACTAAGGTGTCGAACAAGGTGACTAATTAGGAATACTGTCTACTCACCTGTCGGAGCTTCCCTTCTAGACATATGGCTCTGTGTTGAGGGGCAGAAAAAGTGCATGGGGGTTCATAGCGAAGGCGAATGGACGTGGCTTGGTGCAACAAAGCCTGTCATATGATATCACAAAGTCTAGTTTGAGAATGGAGGTGGAGGCAGGCATTGCTGCCCTCCGCTGGTTTGAGAATCAGCTGTACACACATGCTGTCATTGTAACTGACTTACAGAGCATGTTTGGAAAGGCGGAAACAGGCTTGCTTCCTACAAAGTGTCACGAATCACTATAAAGGGATCTGTTAAAAAAAGAAATTCTATTTTTATTTATATCCACATCTTTTATTTATCTTCGTTTCGCATGTGTTTTTATGTCTCAGGTGTTTTATATTTCTTTCTATTATATCTGTTGTGTTTTACATCTCATGTGTTTTAATGCCCGGCTTTCTAGCGTAGTTGGCTAAACTGGATTGCGCGGTGACCGGGTGACAAACTACTTGTGGTCCAGGTTCACTCCCGGGGGTAGGCAGAAAAGCCACATTTATCCCAGATTTACGGTATTTACAATGGAATCAAGGCCGAAAGGTTGCGATATCCATAATACCGAGCCTAAGGGTTAACAACTCATGGCTTCTGGATACTAAAACAAACAAACATGTGTTTTAACTCGTGTGTTTTATGTGTCATGCTTTATATCTGGTGTGTATTATTTCTGATATTATGTATATCTCCTGTTTCCTGTGTGGGTTCCATAGCCCTATTTGAAAGAGGGCGAGGGGGAAAGTATAGAATCACTGCTCCTTTAATAAGCATGTCATTAAAAAGGACTAATTAGGGGTGTTTATTTCAAATTTGGAGTCCATCTGCCTGAGAGGCGAGTAACCAACAGTCCACATAAATATAAACTAGATTTGTAAAACGAATGTACAAGCCTGACTCAAGTTTGGGATCATGGCTAGAGTCTATAAGTGGGTGAACAACCAGACATTTATGCCAGAGTTTACAGCTGGTGAAGGTGAAGAAGAAGAAATTTCAAGTGTTTTATATTTGATGTAGTTTTTTTTTTTTTAAATAGCTCATATGTTGTATATCTAATGTTTTTTTTTTTTGGGAGTGTTATCAGATGTGTTTTATATATCATATGTTTTGTAACTGTTGTGTTGTATATCTTCTTAAGATGCCTATGATAAAGGTGTTGATGACAGTACAACAGGAGCTAGTTTAGAAAGTGGTGACACAGATATGGATATACAGTTAGAGAATGCAAATGATACAATTTCGGAACTTGAGGAAATGGAGGAAAGTGATGGACCACACGACAAACTTCCCACTGCGGCTGATTACCTTATGGCCTTGTCCACAGTGTCAGGTACTGAAAATAATTTAATTTTTTATGCAGTTGTCATCGATTTTACCATCATCACCAACTCATCATTTTATTTATCATCATTGTTTTTGTCCCCTCTGATTCTTGATCATAAGCATAGGCAGTCATAGTTTACCATCACACACAATTATCATAATCACAGATATAGTCATTGCTCTTGACCTGCCCCATCCATTATCCAGACCATCCATAAATTCTTCTTTTTTAAAATTTTTTTTTTAGTGTTTACTGGCTGTGACTCCGGAGAAAAGTTCTGGTTGTTTGTCCATTTCTGGATGTTAGTCTTTTTACAGAACCTGAGTATTGCGTGCACATCTGCCTTATAGATCTGAATAGTTTGTATGCAGATTGTTGGTTAATTCCCTCTCAGGCAAATGCACTCTGACTTTGAAGTAATTCCCCAAACAGTTGACTCTTACGACATGAGTGTTGGGGAGGCAGTGGGTCTGTTCTTGTTTTCCCCCATGGTGGGACCTTATAACCCAAACAGTTGACTCTTACGACATGAGTGTTGGGGAGGCAGTGGGTCTGTTCTTGTTTTCCCCCATGGTGGGACCTTATAACCCAAACAGTTGACTCTTACGACATGAGTGTTGGGGAGGCAGTGGGTCTGTTCTTGTTTTCCCCCATGGTGGGACCTTATAACCCAAACAGTTGACTCTTACGACATGAGTGTTGGGGAGGCAGTGGGTCTGTTCTTGTTTTCCCCCATGGTGGGACCTTATAACCCAAACAGTTGACTCTTACGACATGAGTGTTGGGGAGGCAGTGGGTCTGTTCTTGTTTTCCCCCATGGTGGGACCTTATAACCCAAACAGGGACACCCAGTTGTTATCTCTTTCTCTTTCCCTTGTTTTGTTTTCATCAAGATTGCCACTTTTAACCAAGTTTTCAGGTTAGTTCTTGTTTGTGTTGTTTTTTTGTATTTTTCTGTGCCGTCTCCACGATGAAAGTTGGCTATAGTGTGCTATTTCTGTCTTTGGGAATATTATTAGGTGAGGACCCAGTTTAACAAAGATGCAATAAAGCCAACCAAGTTATAGGCCAAATTGTGTCGATTTTGATATGCAAGTGTGTAAATATGAACACTAAAAGAACACTGTTCAACACAATATTCTTACCAACGCAATGCTGTCAATGCCAAATATGGACACTGTCTTCAGAAGACAGAAGGAAAATAGTCACGTTTAAAATAAAATGTTTACTAGGTATAGTGAGAAAAGAATGACTTCGGAATGATGACATCAGGAGGAGAGTCGGCACAGAACCAGTACTGAACTTTATAGGTAGACAACAAGTCAAATGGTTTGGCCATGTAACAAGACTGGCATCAGACTGGTCACCACAGAGAGCGATGCTATACAGATACAGCGGTAACAGATCCAGAGGTTGATTAAGCAGAATATGGACCGCAGAAATATTTGAGACACTGACAAGTGCTTTATTTGAAGTGAACAGATGGACCTGTTCCAGAGATCTCTTTCTGCCCTGATGCCTTGATGCATTCCAGGAGTAGAGAAGAGAAGAAGAAGAAGAAGAGGTCACAATCTCGTCTACAGTGTGACTCTCGTACTATCATCCAGAAACCACATGAATGGTTTTTAACCATCCGCCACAGGAAATGAACACTACTACTTAAGATCCATTAAATTGTTAACAGCATTCACTATCTACGTCAGATATTTTAATCTTCTTTTTTTTTCTGCTCTCCAGTGAAGCATAGGCCCTCAACAAAATGATGCTAGGTCATTGCATCTTTTGCTGTCATATGCAGCTCACCCCATAACTTCCCCATCTCTTCAAGTTCACCCTCTGACCCTTCTCCATGTGTTCTTTACATCTGCTCTTATTTCTATGCCCCTATGAGTTTCAGAGTAAGGCCCTTCTAGTTACATTGTTCTCAGGTTTTCTCAGCGTGCATCCTATTCAATTCCAGCATCTTGTCTTCACCTCTTGGGACACTGGAACTTGTTTAGTTTTCTCCCAAAGTCAACATTATTGATTCTATAATACCATTTCACTTCCTCTGTTCTGTGCACGCACCAGTTAATGAATGTTTATAATTTATTATAACTGTTTTAGTTTTTCTCCATGTTTCTGCCCCTTAAAGCAGTATTGATTTAACATTAGAATTAGACATTTTAAATTTGGTATCAGTATTAATATTTTGACCTCCACATTTTTCCTAGTGCTATGAAAGCTTCTTTTGCCTTTTGTATTTATATTTTAATGTCTCTGTCAATTCCCTATCTTCATTATTCTCTACATAGGTGTGTTCACGGAGACCTTAAACAGGTCTGACCCACTAGACAGCGAAGTTTGAAGAAGAGGTAAAAAAAGAACCTCACTTCCCATAAATGAGGGGCAGATACAAAAGGCAGTACATTACCTAGCAAATAACAAGATGGCAGGTGATGATAATATTACAGCAGAAATGCTCAAAGCAGATAAGACAACTGTCAGACAAGAGCTAGAACTATTTAACAAAATAGACGAAGAGGAAACAGTCACAGAATATTGGAAGAAAGGAATAACTGGGAAATCCTCCAAAAAAGTAATCTGAGTGACTGCAATAATTGGAGAGAAATTACCTTATTATCTGTTGTGTCAAAAGCCTTTTGCAAAGTAATCATATTCACTGAAGTTATGAAGTAGCGATGAACATAATTTCATGATTGAGAGTCACCACAACATGAGGAACTGTATTAACAAGTTGTCGAAAAGGTCGTGTCACTAGGAAATTTATGAACCAATGGGAGAAACAACACACTAAAAATTAGAATTGTCAAATGTAATGTATACTCAACCCTGCTGTTTAGGGTTGAAACCTGGACAATGAAACTGGACAATGAACCTGGACAATGAACAAGCGACTTGAGAATCAAATTGAGTCTCTGGAAATCTTGATGTACAAAAGAATATGTAGTACTTCATGGAAAATACAAGAGTTAAACATAGAGTTTCGGGAGATACTTGGAATGAAAAGAATGTTACTGAAAAAAAGAGGCAATTGAAATATTTCAGACACGTTAAATGACATAAAACTCTTTTTAAAAACTATACAGGAGGGAAAAGTGGAAGGCAAGAGAGCAAGAGGTAGACAGCATTACAAGTGGGAGGACAACATTGAGAGATGGATGAACATCAGTCTGACAGAGTGTACTACTCTCCATACTTTTCTTGGTGATTGAAAAGATGATACAATGTTCTTGCTCTATCATAACTTATTTTAATTCATTGTATGTAAATGATCAGTATAACTACTTTTATCTCACAGTGTCTGTATTGAACTCCTTCAGACTGAAGTATTTAAATGTTTTAAGCTCCATTCCTTCAGACTGAAGTATTTAAATGCTTTAAGCTCCACTCCTTCAGACTGAAGTATTTAAATGCTTTAAGCTCCACTCCTTCAGACTGAAGTATTTACTGCTTTAAGCTCCACTCCTCCAGACTGAAGTATTTAAATGCTTTAAGCTCCACTCCTTCAGACTGAAGTATTAGCTGCTTTAAGCTCCACTTCTTCACACTTAAGAATTTACTGCTTGAAGCTCCACTCCTTCAGACTGAAGTATTAGCTGCTTTAAGCTCCACTCCTTCAGACTGAAGTATTAGCTGCTTTAAGCTCCACTGCTTCTCACTTTAGTATTTACTGCTTTAAGCTCCACTCCTCCAGACTGAAGTATTAGCTGCTTTGAGCTCCATTCTTCAGACTGAAGTATTAGCTGCTTTAAGCTCCACTCCTTCAGACTGATGCATTTACTGCTTTAAGCTCCACTTCTTCAGACTGACGTATTTACTGCTTTAAGCTACACTCCTTCAGATAGAAGAAGTTACAGTTAGATGGGACTTACAGATTTAACCGTTTGTCTCCATCCACAGGTTATAATCACCCTATCTCTCCCAAACGTTACTTTAACTCCTTCTCTGATGAATGGTTATTATCTTAACCACTTCAGGCTAAAAGATTTTATTGGTTAAAATAATGAATCTTTAGGTTATAGTTAGTAGCAAAGACAGCGAGAGAAGATTCTTGATAGTTTTGTTGCATGGCATGAAGGTGTGTCAGCACACAAACTGATAGATGCTATGGGAGATCACAGATTGTGGAGAGGCATGATCGCCCACGCCAGTCGGCAAGGCACATGATGATGATGAGATAAAAAGAACTAAAATTATTCTGTTTTACAGATTATGTTTCTTGGCGAAATCCTAACCATGGTTCTTGGTTTGTCCAAGCAATTGTTTATACTTTCTGGAAGAATGCACATCTATATGATCTGAACAGACTTTTGACAATGGTAAGGTTTATCTATATATGTTTATGTTTCTTTTTGATTATCTGGGCCACTGCATGGTCCCATGGCATGTCATCTGCCTCAAGTGCTGGAGATCCTGGGTTCAGACCCCTGTGAAAGAATTTTCATATATAATTTTAGTAATTTCCCCTGTTCTCTGGGAAGTAAAATTTAATGCCCGTGTGTATTACTGTGCACTTAGAAAAAAATCACTTGGCAGTTGGAAATTAAAAGAAGAGTAGCCTAATTACCCTGCCCAGGCAAAGTTTGGAGTTAAAAATCTACCCAAAATATTTCAGGATCTTCGTCGGTGCTGTGGAGTTCGTGCACAACACTGAGATTCTTCGGCCTAGTTTACAGAAAGAAGAAGAAGCTAGGTATTCAATTAAATTATTATTCCCAGCAAGGCATTAGTCAGCAAGCAGAAGTAAAGCTGTATGTTTGCTATCAGTCAGGTGCTAAATCCACAGTGTAGGTTGACTGGAGTGGATCTCTAAATGCTCTTTCTGTTGCCCTGGTTATACAGTCTCTTAGACTGCAGCTCATCCATCCCTTGATTTTAACCTTCCACTTGTATCACTGTCTCTCTCTCTCACCTTCAGATATTTCCTTGCAGTGCAATTTTATAAGAGTGTTGTGTCTTTTAATGTGGCTGAAATATTTCACTTGTCTTTTTGAAAATTGTTTTCTTCTGTATATTCACATCTGTAAGAATATTAACCTTTCATCGTCAGTGATCTGGAAAGGAAAAAACAAGAGCAAAGCTAATGACCTATATTTTAGGAATTTCTCCCCCCCCCCCCCCCCCCCCCCCGCGCACTAAAACAAAATTCCCTGTAAACACAAAATTATTTAAAAAAACAGGTCACACAAAAAAAAACATTCTTTAGTACTATTTATGAACAAGAACAATATTAATTTTCATACAAAATAAAAGTAGTCATTAAACATGAATGCCAGACAGAATTAACTTACGTCTTGTTGACCATAGAAAAAGAAATAATAGGCTGACTCAGACATAATTTATTAATTCTGTTGCTTACCACAAGTGATAATGCAAAATAATGATGTCTTAATATCTATTAAAAAAAAAAAAAATGCTGTGTTCACAAGGAAAACCTACACTGCTATTTCGAGTTAAAATAATGAATTCTGGCCCTCCGAAATATTTGTGCACACAATACCAGTGCATGGCACGGTGATATCAATGACTGGTATGAGAGCAAGCTAAGGCCACTGTGATGTGTGTGAGGGGTTATTCCGTAACTCACTTTGGGCACCAGCCAGCTCTGGGCTTGTTTTACGGATCCTCACACAAGATTCCTGCCACACATCCATCTTGTGTATCATAGGTAAGGGCTCACCTTCATAACCTAAACCAAGTTGGCAAGGAATTTCAGAGTTGGTGGCTTCTAGACATGTATTGTCCAGTCTGGCTCATATTAACCCCCCCCCCCTCCCCCTCCTGAAGCTCATTTGTAACATGGGTTAAAATATCTATCAAAGCTCATTGGAAACATGGATTAAAATATCTATCAAAGCTCATTTGAAACCTGGGTTAAAATATCTATCAAAGCTCATTTGGAACATGGGTTAAAATATCTATCAAAACTCATTTGGAACATGGATGAAAATATCTGTCAATGCTCATTTGGAACATGAGTGAAGTCTGCTAGCCAGACATACTACTAATTGACAGTCCTCGGTTAAAATGTTTCTCAAGGGGGAAGAACCACTTCACTGCTGAGATTCAGCCCTCAAAAAAGAGATTTGCTTGCAGCCTAGACAGGCAACATTTCTTGCGGGTGGTAACCCATGGAACAGTCCTGCCTCCATAAATCTCTTGCCATTCCTCAATGTCATCATTACTATACTAAAATACACAACAACAATCTGGTAATCTGGTAATCTGGTAATCCTAGTTTCAGCTTCATAGCAAACGGGTCACCGCACACATGCTCCGCTCCTGTGCCAACGAAAAACAAACGCAGCTCACAGTGTCACGCCATGCACTCAACTCAGAAGCTGGGCGACGAAACTACATCCTACCAGTCTACAAATGGAGCAAAAATGCAACGGCCACCGTCTGGAAAAATATTTGCCACGGCTTAAAAAAAAAAAAAAAAAGGTGGCCGTTACCTAGCGTCCATACTTTTTCCTGCAATCATTAGTGCAGTGCTTGCCAGTTGGTCTGCTCGCTCATTTCCCTTCACGCCCGCATGACCCGGTGTGTAGATCCAGGTTACGGAGGTTAAGTGCGATTTCCTGATGCTTTCTATCCATTCAGAGCGCATACTGCCTGTTGCTATCTTCTGAAGCATATTCATTGAGTCTGAGACAATTACTACCTGTGTGGCGTTTTGCTCGGATACCCATGCTAAAGCTCTAGAAGCAGCGGCTATTTCCATTGTCATGCTTGACGTGGTTGTCTGGTAAGCGCCGCTGTCCTCATGTATTGTTTTCCCCTTTCTTTGCGCTGTGTATGCCCATGCTGACCTTGATCCGCGCTTCACAGATCCATCTGTGTAGATGATGGTATCTTCTGGGTCTGAATGCTGATCTATCAGTTCCCTTACTTCTGTGTCTACCGCCGCAGGAATTTGATCCCTGCAGTACCTTCCGAGTGTGATGACAACCTTAGAAATGCCATGCATGTCTACTGGTGTATTCGTCCATTCTTTTCCGTGGCTGATCACGTCTAGGTCACATACCTGCTGGATTAAGTCCTCAGCCTTTGCCATCCAAGAGCGGCCCCTTTTGAGACGCGTTCCTTTTGTGTCGTGAATAGCTTTGTGTAATGGGTGGTTAACATCTGCCGATACCCTCATGTGAGCCTTGACCTGTGCCACTTTGTATCTGCTTGTCATAGTCGGCAGACCCAGGATATAACGCATGGCGTTGCAGGAGGTGTCTTTTGTGCAGCCGAGTATGAGTCTCATGGCCTCATTCTGTACTCGGCCCAGTCTTTCTAGCTGGGTTTTGCTGACAGTGAGGAGGCCAAGACCATAGTCAATGACGCTAAGCACAAGCCCTTGATAGAGAAGGAAAAGTAGACGTTCAATATCAGCTGCTGCTAGCACCTTGAGTGCTGTCAAACCTTTCCTGGCTCTAAGTATGACGTTGTCTACGTGGCATTTGTATGACAAGCATCTGTCAAATGTCATGCCCAGGTATTTCATGGTGTCCGTTCTCTCGATGTCCACACCACAGATGCTTACTACTGGCGTTGGTGTACTCACGATGTGGGTATTCAGAGAGAACCATGTTAAGGAGGCTTTGGACGGGTTCACATGAGCTCTTGATTCCTGGCACCACTCACTAAGTCTGTCTAGTTCGTGTTGTAGTGTGGTTGTAATTTCCTGCCTGTTTTTACCTCGACGGTACACAAGGATATCATCTGCATACGACATTGTTCTGCCTAGGCCTACGCGTTGTGCACTAGTGACTCCTGCTGTGTACACATTGAAGAGCACAGGCGACAATGGTGATCCCTGGGGCAGACCCATTAGGACGCGTTGAGGTTCGGATGCCCATTCACCACATCGAAGCGACACTGTTCTTTCAAATAGCGCTGCTGCGATCCAGTTGACCAAATTTGTTTCTATCTGCATATCCAACAGCAGTCTGATGAGCATGTTGTATGGGACGCTGTTGTACGCATCTTCTAAGTCAATAGCGGCTGCAGCCGTTTCTATTCCCTCCTGGAAACCTTCGTATGTGTCGTAGGCAAATACTGCAGCATTGCACCATGTATCTCTTCCTGGTCGGTAGCCACCTAGTGTAGCGGGGAAATGGCCACCCGACTCCAATATTTGGGTTAACGTTCTGGCAACGATTTTTTCCATGAGTTTTCCTACAATCTGCCACTATCACTGAGCTGATCTGGCATAATTGTCTGTCAGACACATGTCCTGTGGCACAGAAAAAAAGTCCTGAATGTCTGACCAAAAAATGTCTTACTTATTAGCAGAAAGGTTCACATGCCCATTACCAGTGGCCCCACTAGCCAGAGTGTAGGACCTAAAAGGGGAGCTATGCCAGATGCATGCGCTTGCCTTACCATCTTTCTAAGTTTCCAAATGAAAGTGTTTATTAAAATGGTTAAAGAAGAATGTACCTATTTGTGTGGTCGTTGAAGTCCGAGACCTCCCAGATGATCTCCGGAGGGCACAGCGCATGATGACTAGAAAGCTCAACATACAGATGTAAAGTTGAGCAGTCATGTGCAGGACTTGATGTTTCTTTGGGTGAACCCAGGACCAGAACGTCATGAATCCATTCTGCATTTAGAAGCCTCCTTGGATGGCAGGGAATGCCCATAAACTTAACCAGCCTTCCCTGTCTACTTGCGGATACCCTGGATGAGATCTTTAGGGGAAGCACCTGTAGATAAGGGGACACAGAGAAAACCACACAAATAATGTCACAACATATCTCTGTCCTATGAAACTATCTGGGAAGTTACCCTGGTCAACAGATGCCAAACAGAGGAGTGCAATGGAACAAAGCCAGAAAAAAGAACTGCTGATAGAGAAGTCTGGTGATCTCTCAGGCAAACCTTTACACCCAAAGGTAGAAGAGAAGCGACTAACTAAGCAAGTAACAAATGCTTGATGAAGTCAGACGTGTTGGCCAAAATCACAAAACTGGCACAACGCATTTACGCCACATGGACGAATGGAAAGAAGAAGATACCAGAGCTGTTATTCTTCTTCTTCACGTTCACCAGCTGTACACTCTGGCGGAAAGTTCTGGTTGCTCGTCCACTACTGAACTGCAGTCCTGCTCCAGAACCTGAGTGTTGCGTGTGCATCAGTTTTACAGATCTCATTCTCTTGAATACAGACTGTTGGTTCCTTGCCTCTCCGGCAGATGCACTCCGACTTCAAAGGAAGCTCCCCAATTTGTTGACTCTTACGACATGCTTTTGGGGAGGCAGTGGGTCTATTCTTGTTTTTCCTACAATGGGGCCCCGGAATCCACACGGGGGACCAGAGCTGTTATTAATAATACATACAAACAAAGCTCTGACACAGTGGCTCTCAACCTGTGGGTTGTGACCTTTTTGGGAGTCAAAGACTCTTTCACAGGGGTCGCTTAAGACCATCAGAAAACAACATATTCACTGAAGTTATGAAGAAACAACACAGCATGAGGAACTGTATTAATTAAAGAGTAGCAGCCTTATGAAGATTGAGAACCACTGCTGTAATATAAGTCAGTAAAATTACACTTATAAGGATTGCACCCAACCTGAAATGTTGGTTTTACAGCTTCTGCGGGTGTCGGTCAATGGGGTTAACTATTACAGTTTCCATCTTGTTGCTCAGAGTTTAAGGCTTCCTTCTATCATCATTAACTTTTGTTTTTACAGGCAAATGACTATGTCTCCCAAGCAGAGACAGCAGAAGGAATGAAACAGGTAGCAGAAAAAAAAGACACCCTCAGGAAATCGTTCTGTTTTTTCCCTGGACTTCATCCTGGTTTACCATCTTCACCTTTGAACTGATGCAGCAGAACTGTACCTGAGTACTCAGGCAGATTGAGTTTCCCCATCCACATTGTTTCCGAACCCCACCCCCCATTAAAATTTAGAAGTGTGCTAAGTGACCCTCATGATCTATAGTATTTAGATGTTCTCTTTAACAGTAACTGTTTATACATTTATTATATTTTTAAAAATAATAATATTTACTATTATTATGGAATTAAACAAAGCTCAAATTTCTTGAACTGCTATAATGTGGCGACTAAATGCTTGCCTGTGGATCTGAAGACCACGTGTTAAAATCTGAACAGAGCTGATAGCTGAAGTTAAAAAAAAAATTACCTTGGATCTCAGGTTGGTCCAGCTTTAAATGGGCGCCAGGTAAAACCCTGGGAAGTAAAGGTGGCCAGCATAATGCCGACCACATCATTCAAAAAGTGCTAATTAGTCTATAAAATAGAGGTCTAGCCCTATATGTCCTATACACTTGGAGGCGTGGAAAAGGGTCCTTTACTTACTAAAAATCATCTTGCATCCACTCACCTAGAAAATTATTGGAGTGTTTGGTCTTCATATATTATAGGTTAGTCAAAGATGAAGTCTTACAGGTCATCAAAGAACAATAAATGAAGTGGTTTGGACACCTAACAAGAATGCCCTGGTACTATCTGCCACAGCGAGCCACATTTAAATGTTACAATGGGTATAGAGCGAGTGGAAGACCTCGGAAAAGATGGAGTGATGGCATTAAGAACAGAAATGAATATCAGTCTCAATAGTGCTTTTGACAGAGCTCATCAACTAATGTTACATCTCCCCCCGACACTTTAATGAGGTACAAGGTGGAAGAGAAGAAGAAGTGAAAGATGAGGGAGGCAAAGAAGAACTGGAGTGATAACATCAAGAAATGGACAGGACTAAATTGTTATACGCTTGTTCAGCAGTGCCTCTTTGGTAATTTCCACCCATATCATCTCAGATGACAAATTAAGAAGAATTGGAAAGCAACAGAGATGTGGTTTCTGAGATGAATGTTACAAATACCTTGGATGGTCAGAGTAACTAACACGAACGGAATGAGAGTGAAGGAAGAAATTATTGCAGAAAGGATGAGAGCTGAGCATCTGAAAAGAAACGGATTAAACACAAATGTTGACAACCTGCCAAAAGCATGGCCTCAGAACATCAGATGCTGCCCGCCTTGCTTACGACAGGAACTTGCATCTCCCCACAACGCTTAGCGGCATACGTGGAAGGAAAAAGTAAAGTAAAGTAAGTTGACAACAATGGTCCTGAAATCCCATGTCATCATTGTGGAAGACTTTTCTTGACACTGGCGGGTCTTGCTAGTCACACTCGCCATCGCCATGGGCTGTGTGTCCCAAGCCTCCTTTTAGCACATTATAACACTATTGTCTGGAAAGACGGAAAGGTGCCAATCAATCATCGTTAGCACAGGAACAGAGCATGTATGGAGGCACCTGTTTGCTATAGAGTTGGAACTGCGATTGATTACCTGGTATTTATATAGTATCGGTACTAAATTAGGAAGAATTTGGAAGCAACAGAGATGTGGTTTCTGAGACAAATGTTACAAATACCTTGGACGGCCAGAGTAACTGACAACAATTGCTTGAAAGAAGCTAATGAAAGTAGATCTCGATATACCAGGAAGGCTAACCCGGTCAACAAATGCCCGCAGAAGTCAGATGTGTTGCCTGAGAGGTGCAAATATCGCAGCCATGCTGTAAACGGACACAACACAATTACAACTTCGGATGAACGCAGAAGAAGAAGAAGAAGATCTCGATTTACAACAATAAGAAAGAGATAAACACTGTTCTTAGGCCACATAATGAGAAGAGAGACATTGGAGAACATCGTGACAGCTGGGAAGATCAGTGGAAAAATGCGTAGAGGCAGACCAAGAGAGATGATGCTGGATGGGCTGAAATGATGGCATGGAGGGATATCATCTAGAGAGCTGTTCCAGGTGACCAGGGATCGTGATCTGTAGAGACCCATGAGCGCTTACACCAGTTGGCAGGGCACATGATGATGATGATCATCTCAGAAAGTGACAAGTATAATGCTATCTTCTCTGGGTTTTTGTTTTGTTGCTATTGACATTAGTGGTCGCCCAGACATTTACCTTATTTCTTCACACCTCTTGAATTGTTCCCATCTTATGCTCACCACTATCCTGAGGCATTTGTTTTAAATGCATTTAACTTTTGTTTAATGTCTATAGTGGTTCTCCAACTTTTACTGTCATATTTGATTTGATTTGATTTGATTTGATTCAAGAACTGACATCACAGCACTTGGGGCATTCCCATAAGCGCTCCGTCCCCATCTTCAGCATCCAGCGAAGAGTTCTGATACTAATGGTGCCAGTAGCATTCTGATTAAACGCCCGTCTTGCCTTTCCTCTGAGCCTCGAGTATCTGCCAGAACCTCTCGTTACCCCCAACTGCATCAGTCTCACCAGACTGTGGTGATCCATCAGCTCCTCCGAATTGTACACGCTCTCCCACAAGGCACTAACCACGACTGCCCTATCATGTATCAGTATTCCACCAAGTTGTGCAGAGCCAGCCAGTCTGTCCGCCTGTTCATTTCCCAACACACCGGCGTAACCAGGTGAAAAAGTCCACACAATACTCCTCCGCAGCGAAGCGTGCCACTCTGCACGAAGCATACCTGTTCTGATCTTCCTCAGCATGCTTTCTGAATCAGTTACTGTCATATGTTAAAACTTAAATAAGATTAGATTTGAAAATATATAACTTGGTTCTATAATGGTTTAAGCAGTTGGTTTGCAGTGTAAACTGGATTGAAACAGGGAAGCAGTGTTCGTGACTTAGGCCTTGCCAGTCCGACTCGTAATCCAACACACCGCGATCGAAACCCATCGCTGGCTGCGTGGATTTTCATCATGGTATGGGGCGTCGCAAGTCGACCCAGCCTAAAATGTGTACCAGGATGGCTGTCCTGGGAAGGTAAAGACGGCCGGCATAATGCTGACCACATTACCCATCCAGTGCCGATTGGTCTGTAAAAATATGGGACGCTCTTTCCATATACCCGATGCACCTTAGGCGTGAAAAGGGATCTTTAATTTTTTAGACTCAAATATTGTTTCTGTAAAGTACAAAAATAAGTGTAGAAAATATTTAACTATTTCCATCTTAAGCAACATGTGAGTGTGTTGGCATGCATGCATGTGTACATGCGTGTGTGTATGCGTGTGTGTGTTGGGTGGTTAGTATTTTGCTTGAGTCCCAGCCATCCCATGTGGTGTTTTTTTATCATTTTGCATTTTGTCAAGACATAATAAATAAATAAGGCAAACCTCAACCAAGTTGATATATTAAAGTGCTTGTTTGGGTACCCTGAAAACATCAGATGGAAGATGTATTGAGGAAGTTAAATGTCAAAAAGCTCAAGCAAAGGCAGCATTTTATCAAATGCACAATATTTTATGGAATCTTTTTTTTTGGGGTTCTTTTTTGGTCAGTTGAGACAAGAAAGATAATTCTTAAAAGCTATATTAATCTGATACTGATATACGGATGTTAATCTTGGACGTTTTGTAAATTAGTGGAAACTTATTTGGAAGATGCGAAGATGGGGTTTTATAGATGGATGATGAGAATACCCTAGACAGATAAAAAGAGTAATAAAGACATCTTGGTAAAAACTGACTCACGAAAAAAACTGATTGCCAACACCAGAAAAAGACAATCTACATTCTTTGGTCATGTGATGAGAAGGACAGATCTAGAGTACATCGTGACTGTAGAAAAGTTGGAGGGGGAAGAGGCAGAGGGAGACCGAGGGAACAGATGCTGGAAGGTTTGACATCATGGCATGGAAGATCATCTGTGTCAGAGTTGATTGAAAGTACACGAGACAGAAGGTTGTAGATAGACTACCAACTGTCTAATCAGCTGCCTCCACCTTTGGCGATGGACTTCATGGCTGAGGCCTGTCCAGTCAGTCAAAGTTCTGTATCCAGGACTTTCTTGGTCTGCCTCGTCTCCTGTTACACCATGCTTGTTGGGAAGGCGGTGGGTCGGTTCTTGTTTCTCCCACAATGGGGTACTGAAACCCACACAGGGAGAGCCTAGCTGTAAACTACAACACCATTTGCTAAGTGTGCTTTTAAAAATGAACAAAAAAGCAGCAGAATTTTATTATTTATAAATAATTAGAGCACAAAGAATATATTGAACACTTAGGAGATGATTACTCATAAACGTAAGGATCAAATAGTTAATCTTAGACGTGTGGTGATTTTGTGGTTAATCTTTGCCTTATATTGCTGAGGTATAGAATGAAACAAGAGATAGTGTGATTTTATTTTTTAAAGTTCATTTGAAAGGATTCATGTTTTTTCTTTTCATTATGTGTTGATTAAACTCTGTATTACTTGTGATATTTTATTTAAATTTATAACGGGAAACAATATGTTGAATGTTATTATTTCTGGTGAGGGTTCCAGTGCCCCGTTTTGGGGGAAAAAACAATAGACCCACTGCCTCCTCCCACCCCCCACCCCGATCAGGCATGTTGTAGACGGTGATTCATGAACGGTGTTTCCTTCAAAGTTATGGATCTGCCTGAATGGTGAGGAACCAACAGTCTGTGTACACACACCAAAAAGGCCAGATCTGTAAAACAGATATGCATGCAAAACTCAAGTTCTGGAACCAGATTATAATCTAGAGGGTTTACAGCGGGTGAACGTGAAGAGAAAGAAAAAGAATGTCATTATTGTGTTGATGACTGGGGAAATACTATATGGAGCTGAAAGTGTTAATAATTTTGTTACCGTTTTATGTAAAATTGTATTTTTATCTGCAGATGAAACCTATGCATTGTGGTCATATATTTACTGCTGATTAGGACATTACACAAATTGTGTGCCTTTTTATGTACCACTATACCATTGCCACTTTCATTCTTTGAAAGAAATTAGCAGCAGCAATGAAAAGAATTGTGTTTATAAATTTATA